ACAGTTATTCATAACATTTTCTTATAATCTTTTGTATTCTGTGGTATCAGTCGTTACTTCTCCTCTTTCATTTCTGATTTATTTATTTGGGTCATTTCTCCTTTTTTCTTGATGAGTGTGGTTAAAGGTTTGTCAATCTTGTTTATCTTTTCAGAGAACCAGCTCTTGGTTTCATTGATCTTTTGTATTGTTTGTTTAGACGGTTTTATTTAATTCTGCTCTGATCTTTATTATTTCCTTTTTTTGACTCACTTTGGGCTTTGTTTTTCTTTTTTTATTTCCTTTAAGTTTAAGGGTAGATTGCTTATTTGAGATTTTTCTTGTTTCTTTGGGTAGGCCTGTAATGCTATGAATTTCTCTCTTTGGACTGCTTCCTCTGTGTCCCACAGATTTTGAGTTGTGTTTTTATTTTCATTTATCTCAAGGTATCTTTTTATTTCTTCCTTGATCTTATTGTTAATCCATTCATTGTTTAGTAACATGTTATTTAGCCTGCATAGTGTGTGTTTTTCTGTTTTTTTCTTGTGATTGCTTTCTAGTTTCATACAATTGTGGTCAGAGAAGATGCTTGATATTATTTCAATCTTAAATTTATTGAAACTTGTTCTGTATGGAAAAAGTTTCATGTGCACTAGAAAACAATGTCTATTCTGTTGCTTTGAGAGGAAATGCTCTAGAAATATCAATTAAATCCATCTGGTCTAATGTGTCATTTAAGACTGCTATTTTCTTGTTGATTTTCAGTCTGGAAGATCTATCCATTTATGTCAATGAGGTGTTAAATTTTCCTACTATGACTGTGTTATTGTCAATCTCTCCTTTCATGTTCATCAAGTTTTGCTTTATATATTTAGGTGCTCCTATGTTGGTGTGTAAATGTTTACAAAGGTTATGTCCTCTTGTGGGATTGATCCCTTTATCACTAAATAACATCTGTCTTTGTCTCTTATAATCTTTGTTTGAAAGTTTATTTTGCCTTATGTAAATACTGCTATCCCAGCTTCTCACTTCCAGTGCATGAAATATCTTTTCCCATCTCTTTACATTGAGTCTGTGTCTTTTGTTCCAAGGTTGGTCTTTTGTAGACAACACATAGATGGGTCTTGTTTTCTTATCCATTCAGTTATTCTAGGTCTTTTGATTGGAGCATTTAATCCATTTACATTTAAAGTGATTATTGATAGGTATGTTTTTATTGCCATTTTATTCTTTATAGTTATGTTTCTCATTTTTTCTTTCTTTTTCTTAAAGAAGTCTCTAACATTTCTTGTAATACTGGTTTAGTAGTAATGAAGTCCTTTAATTTTTAATTTTTTTTTTCTTTCCTTTTTGCTGCTCTGATTGAGTGTTTTCTCATACCTTATCTTCTAAATTGCTGATTTGGTCCTCTGCTCGTCTAACCTACTATTGATTCTTTCTAGTGTATTCTTCATTTCAGATATTGTATTCTTCATTTCTAACTGTTCTATGGTTTCTATGTCTCTTTAAATGCATACTGTCTCTTTAAGTTCTCATTTGTGTTCATTTATTCTTCTCCTAAGTTCCTTGAGCATCCTTATAACCATTGTTTTTGTTTTGTTTTGGTTTTGTTTTTGTTTTGTTTTTTATCCTCACCTGAGGACATTTTTCCATTTTTGTTCAGATAGAGTGAGGTAGAGAGAGAGAAACATCGCTGTGAAAGGGACACATTGAGTGGCGGCCTCCCGCATGACCCCAACCGGGGCTAGGTATGAACCGCAACCGAGATACGTGTCCTTGGCCAAAATTGAACCCCTGACTCATTGGTCCAAGGGCCATGTCTGTACCGCTAAGCCAAACCAGCCAGCACATAAGCATTATTTTGAACTCTGTATCCAGTAGATTGCTTTCCTCCATTTCATTTAGTTATTTTTCTGAGTACTTCTCCTGTTCTTTCACATGGGACATGTTTCTTTATCCTCCAGTTTTGGCTGCCTCTCTGTATTTTTTTCTGTGTATTGGGTAGATCTGCTATGTCTCACAGTCTTGATATGATGGTGTCTTGTGTAGCTCAATGGCACAGTCTCCCTGATCACCTGTACTAAGTGCTCCAGGAATGTCCTTTGTGTGGATTTTATGAGCCCTCTTATTGTAGTTAAGTCTTGATTGCTGTTGCCCCATTCATGGGCGGGGTTGACTCTCAAGATGACTATGAGGATTGACCCTAACCGTAGTATAAGAGCTGATGTGCAGGGCTGAGCCCAAGAAGCGGAATTCTATCCAGTAGAGTTTGGTGCCTGCCAAGATCTCCCTGTGAGTGTGTCACTTGTAGAGCTAATTGGATCATGCTCTGATGTGGTCTGAAGTTCACCACCAGATGTATTGGTTCTAGGGCCTTTTGGGAGAGATTCCAGTGCAGGTCAGTGTTAGCTGCTGCCTGTAACAGACCCTGAGCTACTTGTTTGGAGCTGTAGAGTGATCCACAGCTTGTGGCTGTCATTGCTGGGCCTGGGTGTGAATGGGAGGGGCCGAGGTACACACCAAGGCCAGTTTCTACCAGCACCAAGCCCAGGGGCAGGTCAGCAGAAACTAAAGAAATCCTGAGATCTGCCTCCACCTGTTAGGCTCAGTCACTGAAGGAGCCTCTGGCAGTATGTGAGTTGTGTGAGGTAGCTTCCCAGCTAGTCACCAGGTAGAGGCGAGTGGTGTTCACCAGGCTGATACAAATTCAAACTTAGCACATTGCTGAGTCTGAGGCCACTCAGCAAAAGTTTCAGGGTGTACCAAGTCTAGCTGCCACCCCCACCCCACCCCCAGGGCCTTGCAGACCTTTGCAGTGGGTTAGGGTCTCAGGGAGTCATCAGGGTGAGACCAGCAGACTTCATCAGGTTACAACAGACCAATATTTGGTTGTGTGGAGGGAGGGTTTGCATAGGAATGGTGGCACCAGTGTGCAAGAGAAAAATGGCCCTTGTCTTAGAGTCACACAACTCAGTCCCTCCACCCCTGAGCCTGCCCAGACTTCCTCAAGAGCCTTCCAAGAAAGTCTGCACTGCAGGCGCAGGGTGGTGGCGCCCAGCTGACTCCTCCGCAGGGCTGAAGCTTGGCAGTACAGGCCCACAGTGAGTCAGAAGGATGGGGCTAGTGATCTCCCGGTGGTGGGTGGCAGGGGCCGGGGGTGGGAGTAGCTACTCTGATTTGTTGTAAAGAAAGATATTGTCCTCGCCCTAGAGTCACACAACTTAGTTTTTTCCTGTTTCTCTCTGACAATCCAAGTCCACCCGGACCTCCTTAAGAGACCTCCCAGAAAGTCTGCACTGTGAGCCCAGGCTGGCAGCAGCCAGCAGACTCCCCCTCAGGACAAGAGCTTGGCACTGCCTGGCCACAGGGAGTCGGCAGAGTGGAGTTAGTGCATTCCCTTAGGCTGATGCTGTATGGTAGGGAGTGCTCAACCCAAGAAAGATGGCATCTGTGTGTGGTATGAGTGAGGGACTGAGCTGAAGGGACCTTGGCCTCTGTAACTTTAGCCTTCTCCCTGAAGCCACTAACCCTCTGAGCCACCCAGAGCCCATGGTGAGTGGCTGCAAATGAGATTTTGTGCACTGGCCCTTTAAGAGGGACCCTGAGTTTCTAGCAGACCCCCATTCTCTCCCTGGCAAACAGAATCCCCACTTTTTTCACAGCCACGTGTTATGTGGGCTCCTCTTTCCAGCTCAGGTGCTCCAGGCTGGGGAGCCTGGCATGAGGTTGAGACCCTTCTCTCTGAAGGGGGAAGCCCTCGAACCTAAGATATCCCCCCAGCGGCCACCCATGGGAGCAGGGCCAGCACTTCCTGCCTCTCTGCCCTTTCTGCGAGCCTCGATGCGGGTTCTCCGGGAAATCCTTGGCTGTAAGATTTCTGTCCAGCTGGTCAGTTGGTTATGCGGGTTGATTGTTCTATGATTCAGATGTAATTTAGTTTGGTCCTGGGGGGAAGTGCCATCTCGGATCTCTGATAACTTTCCATTTATTCAAATATCTGTACTTTTGTTACCCTTTTTGGTTAGGCATTTTTAAAAATGCGAATTTTAACTTCATTGCTACTTTTTTTTTTTTTTATCCTCACCCGAGGACATTTTTTCCATTTTTTGTTCAGATAGAGTGGGAGAGAGAGAGAGGAAGAGAGAGAGAAAAACATTGACGTGAAAGGGACCCATCGAGTGGCTGCCACCCGCATGACCAACCAGGGCTGGGGACAAACCACAACCGAGGTACGTGCCCTTAGCGGGAACCGAACCCGGGTCTCTCTGGACCGCAGGCCGATGCTCCAACCGCTGAGCCAAACCGGCCAGGGCTACTTTTTTTTTTTTTTAATGTAAAAGTCCTTATTCCTGTGGAATTATCTACATTTCATTATACATATGTGTCTGTGGAGGGGGAAGGGTGAGAAAATTATATTTCTCATAAATTGTAGATTGTTTTTGTTATCAAAAGATTTTCTTTCCAACATATGCTGGCCCCTCTTTTATTCATTTCCCAGTTAAGAATTTAGATGTCTGTCTCCTTTACTGAAAATTTTTTTTGAAAGAATCTCTGTTTCTCTTAAGGCCTGACACACATGGGCAATGCAGACAAATTCTTGTTGAATTTCATTACACGTCCAGGGACATTGTATAACTTGCAATGTACTTGCTTGTCGGAGGAAGAACCAACCTCAGAAGTTCCTGCCTCTTCCCACTCTCCTACCCCTATTCATCTCAAAAATGCCCTAATAAAATTTTACAGCCATGTTAAAGTCAACTTTTTAGCAAGAAGAGAGTAAAAACTAAAATATCTGCCTGACTAATTTTCCTTGATTAATTTAAACAAGGTTACTTTAAAGTTCTCTCTTTAATTATTTTATACTACTAATATCTTTATCTTAAGGATTATTTGATAAGTTAATTGTTCCTGCCCTGAATGAAAATTTATTTTTGTTAGAAGACTAAATATATATGGTAAAACTTCACATGATCATCTCTTTTATTTTTTTATGTAATCCTCTCACTTTTTCTTTTAAATAGGAATTTAGCTTGGAACAAAATTGCCATTATTCACCCCAATGCATTTTCTACTTTGCCATCTCTAAGAAAGCTGTGAGTATTTTATTACTTGTTTATGGCAGGTCTTTTCATAATTAGGGGCCCTCTAAGCCCACAGTACACAAATTGCCCAGCCCTCAGTGTTCACACTAGAGCTATAGCAGAACAGAGCGGAGCCCTACCCCTCCAAGGCCATGTGGGCCATTATGTGGATAACTGAAGATCTGGGTGACAGCTGGTTCTTGTTATTGAGGTGCAACTTTCCATTTTTGCTGAGTAATCAAGTGGAATGAAATAAGTTGTCAATTCAGTTGTAAAGGGCTTTCATTTTATAGTTGGCCATCTTGACTAATAGAAAACCTTTCTGTCCCTTTTTCTCCCTCCCTGTCCACCTTTTGTTCTTTTCTGTCTCCATCTCCCTTGTCTAATAGAGAAAGAAGGAATTGGTCAGACAGAAGCTAAGGGGAAAAGGAGGGGAATAAATCCCCAACACTTTACCCCTCACCCCTAACTTAAGCCAGTCAGCATCACTTTTCAAATTAGAGGCAACACCTGCCACTTCATTTATGATATTCCCACTGTAGCAAAATTAAGCTGAGCATAGAAATTCTAATCTGGATGTGATTAAAACATTTCCCCCTGCCATTCTGATTGTAAAATAAAAGGTATCAGGAGCTAAAACCAAAATGGTTACTTTTACCATTACGAGTGAGGACCCTGCTTAGAAGTTTTTATGGAACATTGTAATAATCTTTAGGTTACTTTTTTAACGTAAATGTTTTATGCTAACACACACTAAAAGCCAATTGTTGTTTGATGTTTTGCAGGGATCTATCGTCCAACCGCCTGTCGTCTTTTCCTGTAACTGGGTTACATGGTTTAACTCACTTAAAATTAACAGGAAATCATGCCTTACAGAGCTTGATATCATCTGAAAACTTTCCAGAACTCAAGTGAGTTTGTCATTAAAAATAATAAGATACATTTGTGGTCATGTGAAATAACAGACGTGTTATAGTGGTTTTCAAAATTTATGAGGTCATGGGACTCTTTTGAATTGCATTTCATGCCCTCAGGTCCACTACCCCTGGGGCATTGTTAGGACAAGTCCCAAAGTGGGAGAACGGGTCTTCCTGACCACATTTCCGTTTTCCCAAAGATGCCTCCCGGAATCACTGAGTTCATGGAAAGAGTTCGAAAACCACTGATCCATGGGATATAAACTAGGACATGTAATTAAATAACATTATAACATTATTGTACTCCTGTTTACATTTTTAAATTCATCTAGCTTGTGTATATGTTCTAATAAAATGTACTAAATTAATATTTGCTTGAGGAAGTAATGCTCTTTAAAGCCTTTTATGCTTATTATTGATAAAAAAATTTTAAAAAAGTTCCTTGAAAGATTATGTATACATTTTTTTTTAATCAAAGTACTTTTCACATACTTTGAAACCATAACACAGTAGAGTGTTTGGAAAATAGGAAAGGAGAAAAAACATCTAAAAATACCCACTAGACAACTCTTTATGTTATTTCCTTCTAGACTTTGTTTCCAATGTATTTTTAATTGTTAGAATCATAGTGCATATACAAACTTTTATAATTTTGTCACTTAATATTTTGTCATCCCATAAGTACCTTTTAATGGTGCTACAATTTTCCTAGCAGTCATTTTTTAACATTTTTATTACAGAAATTTTCAAACATAAAAGTAGAGAAAATAATATACCCATCACTCAACCTCAGCAATTATTAACATTTCATAGCAATAATTTTAATAACTCCATTGTTATTATAAATAGTGCTGTAATAAACCTCTTTGTGCACATGGTTAATATTTTAGATTATGCATTAAGGCTAAAATCCAAAGGCAGAATTATTGAGTGAAAGAAGATGAACACTATATTTAACAATTTACTTCTCTATTTATTTTTTTTATTAATTAATTTATTTTTGTTACAGATGTTTCTCCTTTTTCCCCCACTGATTCCCCCTCCCTCTCCCTCCCTGCCCTGTCCCCAGCTTTGTTGTCCATGACCTTTGTTCATGCATACATGCATATAAGTTCTGTGGTTTATCTCTCCCCCACCACCCCCTCTTCTGAGGTTTGTCAGTCTGTACCCCACTTCCACGTCTCTGGGACTACCCCATTCCTCAGACTGTTATGTTCATTATATTCCACAAATAAGTGAGATCATATGATACTTATCTTTCTCTGTTTGGCTTGTTTTGCTTAGGATAACAATTTACTTCTCTAAGTGTATGTTTTTCCTTTGGTTTTGTTCATTTAAAGGGTTATAGAAATGCCTTACGCTTACCAGTGCTGTGCATTTGGAGTGTGTGAGAATGTCTATAAAATGTCTAATCAATGGAATAAAGGTGACAACAGCAGTACAGATGATCTTCATAAGAAAGATGCTGGAATGTTTCAAGTTCAAGGTAAGACCAGCTGTCCCAGTGATGAAACTGTGTCTGGAAGGGTCTTGAAAAGTCATCAGACAGACCTGAACTCCAGACACCTCCCTGTGTAATCCCCAGCAAGCTGGGAGTCCATCCCACTTTTTAAAAACTCCCAGAGAAAGAGAAAGTTCCTTGAGCATTCATTCTAAAACTTCAGCTCTTCTCTAAGTGAATTTTTAATTCTTTTTTTTTGGGGAGGGGGTACGTGCCCTTAGCAGGAACTGAACCCAGGACTCTCTTGTCCACAGGCCGATGCTCCAACCACTGAGCCAAACCGGCCAGGGCAAATTTTTAATTCTTATATGTATTAGATCATCCTTAGCATATATAGTATAAATATGGGGTAATTATTAATATTGATATTTCCATAAACTTTTCAAAGGGCCTCATCTCTGTGGTTACCTATCTCAAACATGCTTCTGGGCTCTTTTCTCCAGAAGACAGAGTCCATTTTCGTTCCTATGTGGAGGATATAGGCATTTTAGATGCCCCCATATTTCAGCAGAAGGGCTTAAGAATCCAACTTCTTATCTAATTAATTCCAAAGCATTCTCCCCTCTTGCCCCACAGGGGTATCTGTCAGGAAGGTGAAATGAGATAATGTCTGTGGAGCACTTGGCTTTCCTTGAAGTAAGACCTTACTTAAATACACAGCAATGTACCTCAAGCCACACCTGTGGTAATGAGGAGGTGCTCTGGACAGCCCCGTTTTCCTTCCCCTGCCAACTCTGCATGTTTGCACAGAGTCTGAACAGACTGGCTTTTCTTCCTTTGGGCCTGAATGATTTGTTGATTCCTAAGCAAGGGTGATTCACTCTGTCTGCACATAACCTTCACATTTCTTCCCCCACACGTCGGCTTAAGGAGCTGTCATGTTGGCCATCTACTTTTTTGTTTTAAGGCCACAGCACGTGTCCTGTGCTTGTTCTTGCTTTAGTTTTTGCTCTTAAAAAATAAAGTCAAACAATTAGAGCGCCTACTATGTGTCAGGCACTGTTCTAGGTCCTAGAGGTACACAGTGAACAAGAGACGCAAGGTTTTTCATGGAGTTTATTTTCAAGGACAGTGATTCTCAACCCTGGGCCTGGAATCACAAGGAAGTTTTTAAAAATATTCATGCCCACGCCCCACAACAGATCATACAAATCAGCATATTTGGGAAAGTGTCAGATGGCAAATCTCTTGTGTCATAGAAACCTAAACCAAGCACCATCAGAGAACACAGCCCAGAACATTTGCACTATAGCTAAGTGTCAGAAAATTAGATAAAATGGTTCTTCCACTGGAGAGGCCCACAGCCTCTCTCTAATTTAGGTCAGGGCAATTTGGGGCCATCATGAGTTCCAAGGAACAAGAACAGAATGAGAGAGCTCAGATGTTCCGACCAGGAGTCCGAGGTTATTTTCCCCTCCCCCCAGTTTTGCTGGAATACTGTATCATATAGTACCTTGAGTAGAACATCCAAAGGCAACTTTGTAGTGGACTTACAAGAAAGCCAGAGCCCAGGAAAGAGCAGAATGTTCGACCTTCCATCCCTTTGTGACACCTCAAGTGCAGGCAGCCCAGAAGCCTCCTCCCTGATATTTGGTGCCTTGAAAAGAGATAGAACTAATCATTCCAGGACTTCTCATCCCTGCAGATGAGCGTGATCTTGAAGATTTCCTGCTTGACTTTGAGGAAGACCTGAAAGCCCTTCATTCGGTGCAATGCTCACCGTCCCCAGGTGAGAACGGGGCCAGAACTGCCTCAGCAGCAGCTCCCACTGACTCTGAGGCCATCAGTGACATATGGCTGCCCTTCAAAGGGAAATCTGTGCCACCTTTGTGGCTCCTGGCTGTCCCTCCCCATGGGGACCTTTAAAATACAAATGTTCATTCCCTGGAGTTGGTCTCCATTCATAAAATATTTTTTGTGGGAGACTTTTAATTCAGGTTCATGGAAACTGGAGCTAGAAGCATATGGAATTCTTTTTATTTGGTGGTGGTGGTGAGCATATGCAATTTTTAAAATGATATTAGCAATTTAGCCTGAACTAGTAGTATGCAACAGTCTTGCTTCCTGTCATCACTGATTTTTTTTTTTTTTTACAGTGATTTATTTCAAGTCTTCCCTAAATAGCTATTTGGTTAAAGCAAGTAATAGTTTATACATATAAATAAAATATATCTTTATGGACTTCATTAATTGTCCCATTCCCAGAAATAGGATGGGCCAGTTGAAAAAAAAAAGACATCTGGGAAGGTTAGCATTTTATTTTCAACAATTAGAATGTCCCTTGCTCTCTCAAACATCAGATGCCATTCTAAAACTAAGACAAGAGTTTCAAGAAACATGCCTTCATACTATCCATACTGCCTCTTCTGGTATTATGGAGTATTTTCCTAGGATTCTCCTTTTCTGGTTACAGAATCTTCTTGAAGCATTCTGGGGACAACAAACAAACAAAGAAACCATAATGAGCCCAGCCGGTGTGGCTCAGTGGATTGAACACTGTCCCATGGGCTGAGAGGTCCAGGTTCTTACTGATCAGGACATGTGCTCGGCTGCAGGCTTGATCCCCAGAGTGGGGTGTGCAGGAGGCAGCAGATCCATGTTTCTCTCTCTCTCTCCCTTCCTCTCTCTCTAAAAAATCAATAAAAACATTTTTTTAAAAACCATAATGAAAAGCCCAGGAGACCTGGCTTTTTACCTGGCCCTAACACTGCTGTTTTTGGGGGACTCGAATCAAGTGATTTAAATTCCCCATCTCCATGTGTCTGTGTACAGCTGGGACACATGAGCTCCTGGTGTGCCAACCTCGTCAGTGCCACAGGAGCAGTGATGGTGGTCGAAGAAAGTGAAGTGTGCCACAAGGAAGCTGGGTGTCACTGTGGCCATTATTGGTGTCCTAATGAAAGAAACAAAGAGGTAATCTGGCAAGAGTGGTGAGCCGTGATTTGACGCCCAGTCTTTCTTCCTTGGACTTCTAGGCCCCTTCAAGCTCTGCGAGTACCTGTTCGGTAGCTGGCTGATCAGAATCGGAGTGTGGACCGTCGCAGTTTTGGCCCTTACTTGTAATGCCCTGGTGACTTCAACAGTGTTCCGGGCCCCTCTGTACATTTCCTCCATAAAGCTGCTCATTGGGTTAATCGCAGCGGTGAACATGCTCATGGGGGTGTCCAGCGCGGTGCTGGCCGGCGTGGACGCCGTCACCTTCGGCAGCTTCGCGCGGCACGGCGCGTGGTGGGAGCAGGGGGCAGGGTGCCAAGTCGTGGGGTTTCTGTCCATTTTCGCTTCGGAATCATCTGTTTTCCTGCTGACCCTGGCAGCCCTGGAGCGCGGGTTCTCGGTGAAATGCCCTGCAAAGTTTGAAACGAAAACTCCGTTTTCCAGCCTGAAAGCAATCATTTTGCTGTGCGCGGTGCTGGCGGTGACCATCGCCACGGTGCCCCTGCTGGGCGGCCGCGAGTACAGCGCCTCCCCGCTCTGCCTGCCGCTGCCCTTCGGGGAGCCCAGCACCACCAGCTACATGGTGGCTCTCGTCCTGCTCAACTCCCTCTGCTTCCTGGTGATGACCATCGCCTACACCAAGCTCTACTGCAACCTGGAAAAGGGAGACCTGGAGAACGTCTGGGACTGCTCGATGGTGAAGCACATCGCTCTCCTGCTCTTCACCAACTGCATTCTTTACTGCCCCGTGGCTTTCTTGTCCTTTTCCTCTTTGCTGAACCTCACGTTCATCAGTCCCGAGGTCATTAAGTTTATCCTTCTGGTGATTGGCCCACTTCCTGCTTGTCTCAACCCCCTCCTCTACATCCTCTTCAATCCCCACTTTAAGGAGGATCTGGGGAGCCTGGGAAAGCAAGCCCACTTCTGGGCAAGGTCGAAACACTCGAGTCTGATGTCCATTAACTCTGACGACGTCGAGAAGCAGTCCTGTGACTCAACCCAAGCCTTGGTGACGTTTACCAGCGCCAGCATAGCCTACGACCTGCCGCCCAATTCCGGCTCACCATCCGCTTATCCAGTGACCGAAAGCTGTCACCTTTCATCGGTGGCATTTGTCCCATGTCTCTAATTAAATGTGAGAGAAAACGTTTTCAAAAATTGAAAGCCCCAAAATGTGAGATTGAGTATATCTGAGCAGTAACTGAAAAGAGCTGAGTTGAAACTTGATTTTTTTTTTAAATCTCTCAGAGTGAAAAAGCTGAAAACCTATTGAGACTGCAGAGTGAAAAGTGAGTCTAAATGCTGCTTGTGTAATTTGTTCAGCAAAGAGATAGATCAGTCACACTATTTAGGTAAGCCCAGATTTTTTTAAAGGCAGATTGAAATGTTCAAAAAAGATTCTCCATGATTTCCATTGAATTCTTTTTAAAATCACCAATCTGACTGGGGGAGGGAGGGGTGTGACCCTGACTCACAAAAGGAGTTTTAAGCACCCAAACCCCTTAAAAGATGCAACGATGGTTGGAGGTATTAGAAAAATAAGGGTTTTCAATGGCCTGCGGTACCAAGCAAAGGTTGTAATCAAGAGGATTTCATTTTAACGACCATGTGGAGATGTTTTAGTCCTCCTCTGCCTTTCCGCAGCAAGGGTCCTTCCATGTCACCAATCCCCCCCACCCCACGAATGGCTAATATAAGGCACTATTCATTTACTCGCATGCACCTCGTTTTTAGAAATGCCTCATTTATCAGCACTCAATGGCTCCATCCTCAGTGGCATAAAACTACTTACAAATATTTTGAAAGGAAAATGAACTTAAATTCTTAAATTGCCATGAAGGCAATCCTGTACAGGTGAGGTTTGCCTTGTTGAATTCATTTTTAACTCCTTGGTGCCCAAAAGTCAGCAGAAAAGTCCATTGCTGGCAATGGGCATACCTAGTAAAGATGGTAGCAATCTCTGATTTTTTTTTTCTTTCTCCTGGGTGCATGCACATTTTTCGCAGGAGGTTTTATCAGTTGACTCAAACTGATATACATCTTAAGGTAATGATCAAATGCAGGCATGACATGAATTAAGTCCACTGACATAACTTCTCACACATGCATCTCTAGTAGCTCTAGCAACGATGTCTGAAATCACTTTAGACTCAACAGAGACTTGGTAACATATTATCCTGTTTATTTAGCTTGGTTTTAGCTGTGTTGTGTTTTGGATCAACACATTAATGTCAGGAACATGACTTCTCTGCTTATTCCATATTTAATACTTGTTAGGTATTTTAAGAGGCAAAATTATTAAATACTAAAGGTCAAAGGATTAATTTGTAACTTTAATATACTGCATTAGCTTCAATACATTCAAACCAAAAGACTGTTAGGTAGATTTATTTTTATATAAGCATGTTTATTTTGATCAGATGTTTTAACTTGGAATTGAAAAAAATACATTTATGAGATGTTTTATAAGATGTGTAAATATAGAACTGTATTTATTACTACAGTAAAGATTCAGTAACACAAATGACCATGATAATAAACCATGTACAGTGGCATATTCTTCCATATATATTGTGTTTCTCTGCCTATTTCCTTTAAATTCATTAACTGTATATAATATATGTAAATGTATAGTACTTGTAAATAGTTTCCAAACTTGTTTTTCTGTTGGGTACAAAATAAAGAAATTTGTAATAAAATGTGTGACTATAAAACAAAATATTTTTAAATTATTTATTGAGCCCATAGGCAAATATATGATGTCCTAAATGTTTTTATTTTTGATGTGTAAGTACATTTGCTATCTAACTATTTACACTTTAGTATGTTAGATATTTTGGACTTACCTTAAGAAGTAAATCTTTCACAAGAACAAAACAAAATATCTTTACTGAATCCTGGACTGTTTTAACTGTGACTGATCAGCCATTTTGTCATGACGAATGACTTGGAGAAGTTGATGGTCCCCATTGGTAGTCTGGGCTTCATAGCCACAACCTATTTCTTGTGCAATGTAAAAAAAAAAAAAAAAAAGATAAAAATAGAAAGAAAGAAATGTATAAATAACAAATCAATTTTTTAATTATTTAATATGAATATGACTTTTCTATATATTCTTCCTTTGAAAAAAACATACCGCTCTTAGGTCCTGACTTCCCAGTGAGCTGCCAGCAGCCCCGCCCTGGCTACTGCTTTCCCTGCACGTTTCTAGAGCAGAGCAGGGCCCCGCCCAGCCCTCTCCCGTTGCTTCTACCCTGAGCGCTTCCTTTGTTTCCCATCCCCAGCATTAGCAAATGTACTCTCAAAAGCTATATATATATATATATATAACAAGTGATATAGAATTATACACTTGAAACCTATATAATTTTATTAACCAATGTCAATCCAATAAATTCAATAAAAACTAAAAAAAAAAAAAAAATTACATGACTATGTCAAGGTCAAAACATAAGGACATGGGACTCTCAGGGCACAAAGAAACACACCGGTCCCCTTCAGTTTCTGTTCCCCAAACATAAGACAAATGATTTTTCTAAACACCTTGGGCCAGACCTTCCCAGCCTCAGTGGGATGCCTGATCTCCCTGTATAGGTTATAATATAAAACCATCAAATGCTGCTTGGAGGCCCAAAATTATTATTAGGATCAACCCAGATTTACTGGGGACCCCAGGGCACCTAGCACTGAATTTCCTACCATTCATCAGCTATAACCACATGCTTCAACCTACTCTCGTTAACAGGCATCCAATGGAGTCCTACTGTACAGTCCACACTTGGTTTGTCTTCAGCTGCAACAAGGATCATAACATAGTCTCCCTCCTCTTAATCTAACTCCTCTTAGCCCAGGCAGCAAATACAAAAGTTGCCTCCAGAGCAATGGGCTTCAGTTTCTCTTCTCGACGAACTTGCTTCTCAGTGTCCAAAGTTAGGAACATGTCCTGGAAGCCCACCCCTTTCTCTCCCGCTGGAGAAAAGAAGTCAGTGAAGTAATTTTCAAAGGGAAAACAACAAATCCACTCACATGTATTTCTTTAAAAATCTCCACGCTCTATTACTTTATCAGCAAAATCTAGGTACAATACATCTCACACCAAACACTGCTCTATCAAGTGTCTACTAAATGCTCTCCCCTGTAACACCGCAAATCAGAATGACTGGGATTACAGCCACAGGTAAATCAGTCTACAGTGAGAAGGAGAAAAGAGATATGATAAATATTGAAAGACTGAAGAAAACAAAAACAAAAAATCTAAAGAACATAAACAGGTGCACTAGCCTAGAGTAAGTGGTTAACAATATTTTATGCTTTCAAAACTGGATGCACTCAGTCCACACACGTTGTGTACCTACTATGTGCCGTGTTCTGTGCACGTGGAATAATAAGACAAGGTCTGGAATTTGCATTCCAGCGGAGAAGAGAGAGACAATAAGCAAATATAAACAAGGAAATATCTGAAAGGGACATGAGGGAAATGAAACTGAATAGCAAGTCAGTGATAGGCATGTTACTTTATTTTTTTAATTTTTTTTTATTTTTTAACTATTATTTTTTTTAATCTTTATTGTTGAATGTATTACAGATGTTCCTCATTTTTCCCCCATTGATGGGCTCATTCCCACTCCCGTCCCCCTCCTGCCTTTCCCCACACTGTTGTCTGTGTCCATTGGTTATGCATATAAATTCTTTGGTTTATTTCTTCTCACCCCCCCACCCCCTTCCCTTTGAGGTTTGTCAGTCTAGCAACCAATTTGTACTTCTTAATCCCTTCACCTTTTTCACCCATTCCCCCAACCCCCCTCCCATCTGGCAACCAACAAAATGTTCTCTATATCTATGAGAATGTTTCTGTTCTGCTTGTTCATTTTGTTTGTAGATTCGATTGTTGATAGCTATGTATTCATTGCCATTTTTTTGGTTCATATTTTTTATCTTTTTCTTCAAGAAGATCCTTCAACATTTCATATAATAATGGTTTGGTGGTGATGAACTCCTTCAGCTTTTCCTTGTCTGGGAAAGTCTTTATATGGCCATCGATCCTAAATGACAGCTTTGCAGGATAGAATAATCTTGGTTGTAGGTTCTTGCTTTTCATCACTCTGAATATTTCTTGCCACTCCCTTCTGGCCTGCAAAGTTTCTTTTGAGAAATCAGCTGACAGTCTAATGGGAACTCCCTTGTAGGTTACTAACTGTTTTTCTCTTGCTGTTTTTAAGATTCTCTCTTTGGCCTTGGCCGGTTTGGCTCAGCAGTTAGAGCATTGGCCTGTGGTCCAGAGAGACCTGGGTTCGGTTCCCACTAAGGGCATGTACCTCGGTTGCAGTTTGTCCTCGGCCCTGGTTGGGTCGTGCAAGTGGCAACCACTCGATGTGTCCCTTTCACGTCAATGTTTCTCTCTCTCTCTCTCCCTCCCACTCTATCTGAACAAAATATGGAAAATTGTCCTCGGGTGAGGATAAAAAAAAAAAAAAAAAGATTCTCTCTTTCTCTTGAACCTTTTGCATTTTGATGATGATGTGTCTTGGTGTGGGCCTCTTGGGGTTCATCTTGTTTGGGACTCGCTATGCTTCCTGGGCTTGTATGTCTGTTTCCTTCACCAAGTTAGGGAAGCTTTCTGCCAGTATTGTTTCAAATAGGTTTTCGATTTCTTGTTCTCTCTCTTCTCCTTCTGGCACCCCCAAGATGTGAATATTGGCATGCTTGAAATTGTCCCAGAGGCTCCTTACATGATCCTCATTTTTTTGGATTTTTTTTTTTTTTTTTTGCTGTTCTGATTGGGTGATTTTTGCTTCCTTATATTCCAAATCGATGGTTTGCTTCTTGGCTTTACCTACTCTACTATTGAATCTGTATAAATTATTCTGTATTTCAGTTAGTGCCTCCTTCATTTCTGACTGGTCCTTTTTTATGCTCTTGAGGCCCTCACTAAGTTCACTGAAGTTCTCACTAAGTTCATTGAGCATCCTTATAAGCAGTGTTTTGAACTCAGCCTCTGTTAGGTTGCTTATCTCCATTTCGCTTAGTTCTTTTCCTGGAGTTTTGTTCTGTTCTTTCATTTGGGACCTGTTTCTTTGTCTCCTCATTTTGGCTGCCTCCCTGTGTTTGTTTCTATGTATTACTTAATAGGAGGTATGGGGCTAGTTGAGACCAGATCCTGCTTGTTTAAAACAATTTAGGAAAACCTTAAGCAGAATCCAAGACAGTTAAGCAACTGGCAACAGCTTGGGTGGGCCTGAAAGTTGGGTGGGGCGGGGCCTCAGGGAGTCACCAGGGCGGGGCTACCAGTGTGAGCCAGGTTGCTGGAGTCCCAGATATGG